TTTCGTTTCCGTCTCCTGTGCCGCGCCGAGGACTTAAATACGAGTGTGTACCATTATTGGTAGGGTAGGTACGTTTGGCGATAGTGTACCTACGTTATTTATATTATTGTGTATTCGATCGTATAGTCATTGTGTTTTGGTTTTTAAAGTCCCCCACCGAGGAGTACCGAAACGATGAAAAAAAGGATGTAGCGGTACGACGATATTGGAAAAATCCGATAGTAGAATGGATCGGCATTATACGCGTTTATACAACAGCAGTGTATCAATGCACTATATTGGTCAAACAAAACTCGCGTTGTTCGATTTCTTAAGCTTATATGAATCGACGGCTCTGCTTGTATATTATATTATACACAGACTTCGGACATTATATTGTATGATATCACCCTCTGTGGGTGATGCATGTTATATTTTCCAATGTACAGCCCTATATAATGCCCAAAAATGCTTATTATAATATTATACACCCTGAACGAGAAATACGACTCGGCTAGTGACGACGACGTCGTGATTATTATTTTTCTGTGTCCTCGGAAAGACGGCGGCCGTGCTCGCGGGGACCACGACGACTCCCCTTATAGCTTACGGTTAGGTATATAGCTGTATATTATGACTATGCTTTCTACATGCTCCACCACCGGCGCGGCTGGTCCACGGGATAATAATAACAATAACAAGACGACAGGTAGACACATATACGTATATATACCTCTGTGTATATGTATATATAATATATACATTATACGTATTATATAGTGGTGCAAGTGTGCAACCACCACACCCATAATGATTGTACGCCACCGCCGCCGCCGCCGCCGAGTCGTTCTCTGTAAACATATTTTCTCCCTTCTTTAATAAAACCCCCTTATTATTACTTCGTTCAAATATCGCCGCCACCATCATCGTCATCGTCGTTTTCGACAAAAATCTAACAATATGTACATTAATATGACCGAGCACATTCCAAAAAGTCCTACTCCTCGTCCACTTCCCATTGCTCCGTCTCTCTTCTACCTCTGCCGGTGTATTTGTATAACTATATGTACCTACCCATACCTATTTAATATCATTTTCAGCACTATCGCGGTGGCATACCTCTGCAGTTGTTGTGTGTGCGACATCAAACATAATAATACACCGATCGTATATATACATATATATATATCTAGTAGGAGTGGTCCCGAAGGTAAAACGAAATCGGGTTTCACATGAATATTTGGCAATCGAGAAATGAAATCTACAAGACATTTTCAATCGCGATAACACCGTTTTTTTCTTGGATTTTGCGAGGAAATTATGTACTTATATACGCCGTGTGCGCCTGTGTATTTTATACACTCCCATAATATACGGATCCGTCGTTTTTTGTCAAACTCGCAAATATCATATCTCCCTCGCGATCCCTGCGTAGCGTTTGATGAAGATAGAGAGAGAAACAGAGAGATACGGAGAGAAAGATAGAGATAGAGGGAGAGAAACAGAAAAAGAGTGAGAAAGAACTGATAGGCTGCACCATGTTCAATCGATTACCATCGGTCGGGACGGTATATCATATTATATATGTATATTCCCTAGACTAATGCTGCGGGATAAGACGACCGCCGCCGGTCTGACTGACAACACTATTAAAAAAAGGGTTGTATTATACGTATATTGTGTGTACTGTGAAGAGAAGTCGACCTTGAATGGGTGTCTTCAGTCGTCAATCGAAAACGGCTCGGGTTCGAGATGAATGGAACGGGTGGATCAGTGCGCGTGCGCCGTCACGTCGCTCATTATTAAACGCATATAATAATATTACAAAGGTACGCTGCCGCGGGTCTCGAGCTTGTTACACGAAAGCCCCGCGTCCAATCGCCGCGCGACACTCGACGACGAAAACCCACGGGCGCCGGCGACAACCGCGGTCGTGGTATATATAATGTGGTTTTCGAGGACAAAAGCCAAGGTCTTACAATAATACAATACAAAACATGTATATATATGTAATAGCTGCAGTGTGTCCTTGTCGAATTCGTCACACAAAAGTCGACACCTGTCCCTGTCGCGCGTGGGGTGTATCCGTACCGGACGCGTCGGGGTAAATCCGTGTTCGCGTTTAATATAATAATATTTTAATATTGTCATGTACCTACGTAAAAATTGTCTTGAAAATCGCTGTTATATCGCAGTCGGCTAAATCTCTCTCTCTCTCTCGTCGTCTCGTCCATTATAATATTCCGAATGCAGGCACCTATCTATTATGCGTGCGGAGGCGTAGCCTGTCGATCATCGAACGACGCCGCACGCACTAGTGTGCGCGTCGTACGCGCCACGCATATACTTACTTTATAATCGGCTTCTGGAGTCCTGCACGGCTCGTCCGACGCGTGAATTATAATGTTTCTCGTATAAAAATAATAATAATAATAATAATATTATGTATATGGGTACGTATAATATTGTAATAGCTCCAGCGGTATGTGAGGTGTGCAACAGATAGTTGTTGCGCTATGAGCGAGTGTGTGTGGACAGCCACGTTAACGAGCGACGGACTGACGGACCCGAACGTGCGACTTGGATTCTTTTTATTGTTTTTTATTATCAATGTGCCCATACACATATTATGCGCTATTATTTTTCTCTCCCGTTGGTTTTATACGGCTGTTGTGGCGGCAGAAGAAAAACGAGAATACTATATATAATGTCGTGTGCGCGCGCGCGCCGAATAATAATAATAATAATAATATAATTTAATGTGCGCGTTGTTTTTTTCATCTCTCCGTCAATCGTGTACATATTATTATTATTATTATAATATGCGGGACGACGGAAACGGTGTAAGCACACACACACACACACACACACACACTCGCGCTTGCGATATAATGTATTGGAGGTATATACCTATTACCTACATCATATATTTTATACGAGATATTATAATAGTAGTAAGTAATAGAATAGGTATATGGAGAGAAGGTCGGTCGGCCGCCGGTTGTAGATATATATCATATACATAATATATAATACGTCTGTATAGAAAATCGAACGGCCCCGTGGTGTTTACACGGCGGTGGCGGCGACGAGCTATTAAAGGGAAAAAATCTTATAGGCGTCGGACAATGTTATCTAAAATATTCATCTTAACGTTTGGCTTGGGGGCCAGGTTTCTTCTTCTTCTCTCTTTTTTTTTTTTTTTATACAATTTCGATCTATCACTTATAGATCTTTCGTTAGAATATTATTACGCGGTTTGTGATCAATCGTCGTCGATCGGTTCCAATAATAATAGTTAACTCCTGCTCATCCTACTCCTCCCCTTCATCCGCCACCGCATACTCTTCTTTACCATCGCGTTCATTAGCGAGGAATGCCAAAATATCACCGGAGTTTTTGGAAACGATTTTCGAAATCAATTGTGTTTATCTTTTGTGTACCAGTAATAATATACCTGAATAATATAAACTCGATGGTTTTGTTTACAAACCAATAAAAATTGAAACTCTAAACTATACATTATACATTTTTTTTTTCAAACCGTAAAATAAGTTGTTACTCCTCGCATAGTATACATACAGAAGTGATTTAACGAACCTTTTATTTTTAATGACCCTTATTTATTTAGTGATCGTCTTGGCCGTCTACTGATTTATAGTAATTTGTGTGACCAAATATATGTTTTCTTCTACACTCGGTTTTCTCCGAAACGGCATAAATTAAACTATAAATTAACGAACACAAAGCCCACGATATTTTTTTTTTAGATAAACAACAATGTGTAGTTCAACGTTGAAAAATATCAAACTAGATAACATTTATTAATTATATATTTCTTTTTTCGTATGTAATGTATTATTACAATCTTTTCGTATTTGAATGAAATTATTGTTTTCACCGTAGTGGTGTCCATTGTCTGCGCAAGAACAAAACTAAATATAGTAATATCATCACGTCACACGTTGATAATAATAATGATCATTGTAGCCGGTGAAAAAAAGAACCCGTCAAAAATGCAGGCTCTTGAAAGCACTTAAATTGTCTATACGGAACGCCGTGCAAGTATAGTACACCCGGCGCACTACGTCTGTATATCATATCTTATTATATTATCTTCGCGGGAAACGTGTAACACAAAAGAACCACACAACGAAACCTCCTCTGCGACGGTCGCCGTAACATTGTATTTCATAATGTAATTTTATTTATTATTTCCTGGTTTGGTCTTGAATCGAATTCGTTGTCCCGAGTCCCGCCGACCCTCGAAAAGAACATATAATATATACACACGCGGACTGCATCCGTTTGTAAGTGATGTCGGGTAGGTCTCGAGAGGGTCTCTTCTCGCTTATATTTTATTGTACATCATTCTACACACAGCACGCCGACCGGTGTTAGGGGCTGCAGTGATTTTCGAATTCTCGGTATACGCTTGAATAGAAGCGAAGTAAAAAATGTGAGAAAATTATATTATTATTATTATTATTATTATATATTCAATGTAACAAGTGTTGTTTGGCTTGAAACGAATTTGACTTTTGAACCCCCGCCGGGGTTTCCTCTCAACCACCGTCATACACGCTGCCGCACGGTGTATCCGTGTTGTTTTATTCTGTTAGATGCGACGGTGATTTTCTCTCTTACCGGACGGTAATGAGTGTAATGCACATTAATAATTGGGCCTATAGAAAAAAAAATGTTATTAAACAGTATGTGATTTATGTGTGCACCCGGCGGGGTGTGTTGTAGTACAGTGTAGTCGAATGAACGCGTATATTATAAACGTTTCCCTGCATACCTCGGACGCCGCTGTTCGGCAACCGCCTGTTGCTGCAGCGGTAACGACGAGACCGCGCGTGATGACGATGTGGGAACTCTGTAGGCCATAATTCGTTGTAGTCGTCAAATGTCTGGTTAATTGATTATTATTACTACTATTATTATTACTTTTATTATTATTATTAATGTGTGTGTATAAACATTGTATATGAGCTATAAGACCGTCGTTTGGCTTACAGATGTGGGAGATGCTCCTGTTGAGCATCTTGAAATGGGACGTGTCCGCTATCACGGCTCACGACTTCCTATGGTATATACTTAAAAGACTGCACATGGACACGGCCAAGCCGTTCGTGGACGTTGTTATCAAACATTGCGGCACTTTCATCGGCATGTGCGCCAGAGGTAAGTCGTATCAATAATATACATATTTAATTAATTTTGCTACATTATAATATTGTAATTTGGGTACACCACGATATTGTATCGTGATTGATATGCTGTGCACAGTGGCGTACCTGTGGTTTCTAAAGGGGGGTGGGAATAACTAAATCTAAACAAACTAAATTGTAATATTGTATGCATTATGTATAAATGCCAACCTAATTCATGATATTTACATCGTTGCAAACTAAAACTTATTTCCGCACATACCATGTTAAATCAGACTCAGGGCTGTGATGGGCACGTTTATATAAGATACGGTTGGTGATGTGATTTAATTTGTTTGCCATCTTGATTGTAAATAAGTTCAATTCAGTCCAGTAATTATTGTAATCTGTAGGTTCAAAAACCTAGTACCATATAGTTACCGATTTTATTTATGTATAATAATAGATATCAATAAGTAATAACTAAAAGTACAGTATTATATACCTTATTGAGAAAGCTCAAACACTTGACATAGTAATACTGTCTTACATACAAGTTTATTAGTTTTAAATCGTACCCTATTATAATAATTGGTTGTTACATAATTTTCGCTTTTATTCGTTGATTTTCATTTATTTTTTGAGTCATACTGTGTAGAAAATCGATTCTTTTTTTTTAATATGGTTATTTGCTTGAGACATTTTAGAAACTTCATAACATGTAAAAGATACATCTAAATCAAGACGGTTATGGCTTAAGATTACATTACATGGTGCACAAAGCAAAGTATAATGCATTTAGTTTTGCGTGTGAGAATTTACGTTTTTGCTCTAACTTTCGTACTTACCTGTTTTATTATTTTCTTGGACATGTAGGAGTTTATAAATCATAGGTGTTTTTTAATTAACTTATGTGGGGACTTGCATATATTATATTGTAACCATTTGTTTTGTGTAAGAAATTACCTAATCCGGGCCACACAAGTGTACCAAGTCTGCCGTGTACCGTATTGTTCGTCTTCTCCTGACCTGCGTGTCCGCTATATATTTTGTTGGATTGCGATTTTTTTTGATTTTTTTTTAGCTCAACGAGACAAGTGTTTCAAGTGAATTATAAATATTTAGAAGGAAATATTAATTATATTATGTTTATTTATATAAAGACACCACTCACGGGTATTATATACATGTTATGTATATACGTTTACTCGATTATCTCGACCTTATTTGGTTTCTCGCATTGCGGCATGATGTGGAGGGACCGGTTTACGATGAGCGGTGGTAGTTTAAACCGTGCTAGCAATCTTATCTCGGATAAATCTCGGCATCAAGTGTGTATGTGTGTGTGTTTAATGTGAGTTGAATAAAAACGTAGACGCGTAACTCTGCAAAAGGGTTTCGGATTTGTACCCGAGGATTTGCCTGACGCTTAACAACTAATGTATAAATTAAAAATATTCGAAGCGTGTGACGACTGCCTCTCCGCGCCACGATAGTAGTAACATGGTAATTAATAAATAAAACGACAAAATTATACCTTCGTCGTTGCATATAATTATATAATATGTACCAAAATTTAACAAAGAATAATAATAAGTACCTATAATATCACAAAGTCAATGGAGCGGTGGTCGTACAAAGGGAATCGTGGGACGGCGTGTGAACGTGTCGAGTTGTTTCGTCGCTTTCGAGGTCCATCCCTCGCCGTAAGCTAGTCGGCATTTCGTTGTATTATTATAAATTATTTTTGTGTTAAATAATAACTGTAAACGCTGTTTCAACCGCATAACAACATCACCGACGATATTACAATAGATATCAGAACATAATAAAAATTAAATAATAATAATAACATAATAAACATAATAATTTAACCTACGTTAAACACTTATTTTTCTTTCAATTTCTCCGGTGCCGAGCATTCACGATATGATTTCAATAACACATCCTATTCATTCCCAGCCGACGTTATCATATTACGATTTCGGCGTGCTAACGAGGCGTTCGTCCTTTTGACTTTCGACGTATTTTAGTATTATAGATTTTATGTGGAAAGACCCGATCGGCAATTATATTATTATCGGACGGTGTCCACTGCGTCGTCGGCGGACCGTGTTTTCAATATTAATCCTCGGCCGGATTCGCACGGTCGATAGTGCACGTCGTAATAAAAACGATAAATAATGATGATAAAAAAAAATCGCAGGCGGCCGATTCTTGCTGCACGACGACATTTATCCGTGTATAGAGGTGGTCCCAGCGTACACGTTATATTATATAGCTGATATATTATTATGTGTGCTAACCGCCACCGCGCTGCCGTTCGCATCGTCCGAAACGCGTCTCATTGTCTCTCACGTCCTATATACTTCGTGGAAAACGCCACGCAACAATCTCAAAGGAAACGTGCCGAATGAAATATGGTTTTCTTTTTTATGATAATGATTTTTAATAAAAATAATGATAGTAATAATAGTAATAATAATAATAATAATAATCACAATAACGACGACATTATTATATGGTTATTGTGATTATTATTATTTCCACCACCCCCACCGTCCCCACCATCCCCTTCGCGCACACCATGTATCATATTCGCACCATCTACACAATATTATACCTACTTAATATATTCCCACCGTTTATTAAGTCGCCGACGCCGCCGCCGCTGCCGATGGCAATAATTTGTTACACATTTTGCGAACGTTTTGATGCTTATTGCTGCCACTGCAGCAGTGCTACAGTATATAGGTACCCGCAGTGTGTGTGTGTGTGTGTGTGTGTGTGTGTGTGTGTGTGTGAAGTGGACTGCTCTGTCGTCGTTATAATACTAAACGTAAAAAAAAATAAATTTATTTTACATACCTAACATCAAAAAGTGTCAATAAAACATTTTCGAGACAATATACTACAGACGGTGATGCGGTGTACGTTATATTATAAATGTGGCGCATATGCAAGCACACACTCACAAAACAACTCATCGTAACTTATAATATCCGTTCTGAACGTTTATGTTCGCTTTAAGCGTACTTAAAATAATTGTATCGGCGGTGGTTATGGAAGTCGTGTCTTAATGTCTTGGTTTTGATTTTATGCCCGACGCCCCGCGCCCGTCGCCCCGTAAATAATAATTTCAACGGTCGTCCCGCTTCGTTGCTATGTGTACTGCGTATATTATTATAATATACGGTCATGTCCCTAGAAAATGTGTATAACACGTGAAAAATGTTAATTTCGAAAATATAATATTATTCAGGCCTCCCATAAAACCGTGTGTGTATGTATGTATATACATGGCGGCGTCGGCAGCGGAATAATATATTGTGGTTTGTGTTTACGTTATTAACCGGAAACTGCTTGTGCGACCGACAATCCTTCGGGTGGTTTGTTTTTCATTATCTGTCCGCAAGGTCAAACAACTTGGATATAAACAAAAATAAGGGTTGTGGAGGTTTTATTAAATCATTATTTTTTCTTCTCCGCTGGGAACCCGCAGTAATAGCTAGGAGACGAGACGCGACGCAACGATGACGACGATGACTAGTTCAATGACGCAGGGTCAACCGAAGTGCGTGTGTGTAAATGTCGTAACATATACAAAAAATATTCATCCCTCGCCCTGTCGCTGCCGTTCATCGTTAATGCTTACAATAATGAATGGAGGATGTGTATAAGCCCCGACATTTCAATGAGAATGCCTTGAATTTATTTTTATGGTTTTTAAAAACAGTATTAGATTCGTCGAAAGAGAGAGGGGGGAGAGAAAGACAAAGACAGAGCGAGACAGATAATGCAGCAGCGAGATTCTTATGCGTTTCTTATGTTATACGAACAGGCGCTTTCGATTAGCGGGAGGGTGAAAAAAAAAAACAAACCCGAGTTACTGCGCTATAATATTCGACTTTTTTTTCTGTTTTTTAAAAAAAAAAAATTGTTTTTTGTTTCAATTTGTTTTTTTTCCATATATCATAATATATAATAACATACGATACGGTCTCCGATGTCTTCCTCTACTCGTACATGTGTTGCTGCACCGTACATACAACGGTTGTGTGTGTGCATTACACATAATATACTACAAGTCATCTTGGGAATATCTTTGCCCGGCCAACATGTGTGCTCGTTGCACGGTTTTTATGTGATATTGTGTCGTCGTATGTCATATCTGCAGCAGCAACGCACGTCCATGGGGCCTAGTGAAAAACCGTAAAATCGAGCAGAACGCTCGTGGCCCGTCGATTTTTTTCTCTTCTGTTCGTCACGTTATGAAAAAAAAATAAAAAAAATAATGACATTTTTTCGGTTTGTTGACTGGTTGAGGTCCCATTTCACGAAATACATAATTTAGTGCATATACATCATACACTGCATAGTTCATAATGCGGTATCGTTTTAACGTTACCGTTTCCAATCTTATAATCGGGCACAAGTTTTCACACCAGTTTTTGGCTTATATCACATCACAGCCGCGGATAAAAAAAAAACTTACTACAAAATATATGATAATATAGATTTTTCACGTTGCCTCTCAAAAAATAAATCCATTTCGATCCGACTGCAACGCGTGTTTGGGCCGTGCGAATAGCAGTAGCGTAAATTAAATGGTTGTCGTCTCCGGTTGCTGTCTGTTCAATAAAAAAATGTATACTTAATACTCGGATAATCCATATTATATTTTTTACTCAAAAGTGACGGTTATAGTTTTTACACTTCCCATCTACATTTTATTATTTTTTTCCCATAAACTTTTCGAACCACATATTATTATAGTTACGTGCACTTATATAAATATTATTATACCCATTTGTTAATCACTAACATGCAGCAATGACGATTATGATATATATATATACCAACGTGCGCCGCTTTTTTACTTTGACGTCCACGTTTATTTTATTGTTTTTTCGTCCACTTATTATAATATTATTTTACGCAATGGACTCTGATCACATTTCCATCGACGATTTAGATTTTCTAGATTATCACCATCATAATATTATAATATTATATGGACTCTGCCGTTCTGTT